CTGCATCCTCCTCTTGGATCTGTGCAACTCGGCATCGTCGACCGAACCGATATCATCCCGGGTCTTGTGGCGTTGCTGCTGGCCATCCTCGAGGTCGGCTGCGGACCGCTTCTTGACATTCTTGTTGTGGGTGGTGAAGATGTCCGATTTCTCCTTGGAAGGACGCGATCGGCCAGACGTGTGCTTGGCTTTGGCAGAGGATGAGCTGGAGATCAGTGACGCCAAGTTGGTAGAGAACGCGAGAGAAGTGGATGATGAAATTTCCTTGGCTTTGGTCTTGGAGGCCTGCTTGATGCCGTAGAGACTGTCGGCCATGACTCCTACCTTTTGGCTGTGAGGTGATCTTTTACCAGGACAGCGACTCCATGTAAACGCTGGAAATAATCACATGCAGGGCAGCGAGTGGGAGGTGGAGATGATCACCGCAGTCGGAGAACCAGATGAACTGACAGGCATGCAAGGCTGTGACATTCTACGCTTTTCCTCTTTTGAAACACGGAGGGTCGGACGATCGGGCTCGGTGGAATTTCAGTCCGTACCTGATATACTTGGTATTCTACATCGTCACCACGTCCCTGCTCCTCCTCCTTGACTACTCTTTGAGGGCGAGCTCTTTGAGAGCAGTTTATAAATGCTGCTACTCAAAGTAAACCCAGAATGCGTCTCTCTCGGTCATCTAGTAAGCGCAACATGACACTGTCCGAGGAAGAGCGACAGGCCCAGGCTGCTCGTCGCCGGCGAGAGAAGCCTCAGTTGTCTTGCAACCTGTGTAGGAAAAGAAAGTGAATGCTGCCCTAACCCCTAAGGGTGCTGATGAGCTTACCCAGGGCGAAAATAGGTTGAAGTGTGACCGTTGCCAGCCCTGCCACAACTGTTCGCGCCGGGGATTGGCTGAATCTTGCACTTTTCCCAACTCCAGTCTACTAGAGCCAACAACGACAAGAATCCTGGATCAGTCGATCCCCTCTGATGTCAAGGACCGAGTCAAGCAGCTCGAGTCCCAAGTTGAATACTTGATGGGTGCCTTGAGTCAGGACGAACCTATCCCACCAACATTAGAGGACAATGTGCTCTTGATCCAAGACCAAACCCACCAGCAGGACCACTATCGCCAGGATCCAGAGCCTATTGTTGATTCAGCAGGGTGGCTTCAAATCTCTCAGGGCAGAGATGACTATGTTGGGAGTGCTCATTGGCTGGCGATTCTGCAAGGCGTATGTTGCCTTTGCAAGAACTTGCAGTCGCACGAAGCTGATTTCCACCTCAGATTCCTGCCTTGAGAAATGTATTTCAAAACAATACCTTTCTCACCAACAACGAGGACGACCTAAACAATAGAGCAGCAGAGGAAGAGCCCGACCTCCTGGGATATTGTGGCAAAGCCAGTAGAGAAGATATTCTCGGCGCCATTCCTTCAAAGGGCTTCGTCGATGCTTTGATGACCGTGTGCTTCGTCAACACAGATAATGAAGCAAGTCGGTCAATTGATCCACCTCCAATCAAGTCTTTATGCTAATTTCGATAGTGCTTGTTCATCCCCCAACGTTTCAAAAAGAGGTAGGCGTCCAAAATACAACTCCCCGCGCTCCGCTTCTGATATTGGTTGCAGTACGACAGCTTCTGGGAGAATCCGACGTCAGTGTCTACCATGTGGATTGGACTCTTGTTTGCACTGATGTGTTTGGCCGTGCAGTATCAGCAATTCTCATCGAATGAGGAGCGGCGGCTGCAAATCGCAGACGCTCAACCGGAACGCCTAGTCCGATTATATCGTCAGAAAACCATCCAGTGTCTGGTTCAGGGTAAATACTGCCAAGGTCCACGATATGCGGTGGAAACCATGTTGCTCTATTTATTCATCGAGACATTGAGGGAAGGAGAGACCAAGAGCCTGCAGGGCCCGTGGGTGCTATGGGGAAGTCTTGTTCGCATTGCTTTCCGAGCCGGCTATCATCGTGACGGATCCCACTGGCCGACAATGTCCTGCTTCGAAGCTGAGAGGCGCCGCAGAGTCTGGAACATGCTTGTTGGGTGGGACATGTATCTCTCCATCCAATTCGGTTTGCCTCGCATGATCAACATTTCGCTCTGCGACACTGCGGATCCTAGGAATCTGTTTGAGGAAGACCTTGACGAGGATATGCTCGAACTACCCTCTCCTAGGCCAGAGTCTTCACGGACCATAGGGCAGTTCCACGTTGCCAAAAATCAGCTCCTCAACATCTTCGGGATGGTCAATGATCTTACCATGTCGGTCAAGCCTTCTTCGTATACCGAAGTCTTAAGACTGGACAAAGTGCTTACCAGTGCTTACGAGTCGATTATCCCCGTTTGGAAATCTGAACCACAGGCACAAGACCTCCCATCGCTCTCACAAGCCCCTGCCACCATCAGTGTGCGTTGCACTTTTCTCACCTTTATCTACCACAGAGCGCAGATTGTTTTGCATCGCAAATACATGTCCCTAGGCAGAAACCAGGAACGATATGCACACTCTCGCAAGGTATGCATCGAAGCTGCCCTCGCCATACTTCGACATCAGTGGGCCTTGTATCTTGAGACTCGAATCGGTGGTCAGCTGTGTCGTCATGGTTGGAAATTCCTGTCGCTACTTGTGCAAGACTTCCTATTTGCAACCGCCATACTCTGTGCCGAGCTTGGGGAAGAGATTTCTCTGGCTAGTCCAAGTGCTGCCGTCGATGTGCAGACGTCAACTGCTGGCTGGAACGGTGGTGGCGATACTGACTTGCGCGACGCTGTGTTTCATGCCCTCAGCTCATCTTATATTGTGTGGCTGCAATCAGACGGCTCGTATTCATCGCAAGAAATCAAGACCGTGGTAGCAGCACTCCGGCATCTGCTGAGTAGGGTGCAGGCAATTGGATCTTGCCCGTCGAGGGTGAGCGCCTCGAGGCCGTCAACTTCTCTACCCGGGACAGACCCAGGAATTGATGAGTTGGGACATACGCAGTCGCAGCAACGGGTAGGCTATGGTCCTGAAATAGACAAGCCTACAAGTGGTGATGTTTATTGGGGGCTTGGACACTTTCCCATATGATTGTTACAAATAAAGGGTCGTCTATTTCAACCAGATGATACTGATGTGGATTGTGTTGATTCCCTCTTTAGGGAAAAACTGCGGTCTTTGTCTTTTTGCTCCGGACTAATTAATACGGAGGATCATTACATCATCCGGAGCTCCAGCCGGAACCATATTTCCAGCTCTGCGCGAAGCTCCATGAGCTTCGCTCAATGACGTCGATCGTTAACAAAATGGTTCGACTTCCGGCGCGCTCCATGGCTATAAGAGTCCGACTCATTCCACAGACCGACTCTTTCTTCCCAGTATAGCTCGGTGGTCTATCGCTATTCAAAGCAGTGCAGAAGAAGTAGCTCCAGCTAACCACTCTCAATCCTCATCAACCATGTCTGTCGATGCATTTGCAGCTCTCCGGAGAACCCAAGGAGAGGAACTTGGGAGACTTGCAGAGGAGCATTTCAAGCATGAGTGAGCAAACATACGGCCCTCATCTCATGCCTATGCAGTCAAACTGACTGACTATGACATAGTCTACGAGAAGAAGACCGTGACTTACTGCGGTCGGCCGCATCCAAAGCTTCCAGACATGCCCTCATCGGCTCCCTCGCAGGTATTGCGCTAGGGGGTTTCCTCGCCTTCCGCCTACGAGCAAACCGCAACGCCATGTTTCAGGCCTTCCGCGCCGCTGAGAAGCCCACGCACGTCCGATTCGCAAGCGGTCGCGAAGAGGCTATTCCGGACATCACTCCTCTGTTGCAGCCCACACCTCTGGGAGATATCGTGACCTACACGTTCTTCGGCATCGCGGGCCTATTTCTGGGTGGGGAGGCCGGTTTACTGACCGGGTCGTGGTCCGCGAGGAGAGCCATTGCGCAAGACCCAGCTTGTCAAGAGAGGATTCAGAGGGCGGTTCGGTCCTTTAGGGCGGATGTGCTGAGGAAACAGCTCAAAGAGCTCGAGGCAGGGAAAGAGGACGGGTCAGAGGAGAGCATTTGGTCATAAACCGGAGCGTCAAACATGTTTGCTGGGGGTCCTTGGGACTGGGAAAGTAGGTAATGTCATGCATGAATGGGGACTAGGATAACACTTTCACAAATGTGCAAACACATCCACCATCATTGGATCTGGGCTTCTTCTCCTTCCGGTCGCGTGGTTACTGTCTGGTTTTGTTTGCTAAGCACGAACCTCGGATTAGATGGAGCTGATACGTTTACAGGCAAAGAGCTGTATCAACAGCCTGGGTCAAGGTTCCGGGATTGCCACCTACATTGTCCAGATCTACCATGCGTCACGGTTGAGTCACTGCGTATGACCTTTATCATTCCATGGAGTTTGTTTGATCCTGCACCTGCAGGCACATCACTACAAAGACATAACCCCTCCGACTAGCAAACGGAGCAGCGCATTGAAGGAACAGACCCTGCTGAATAAATGGAGCGACGCTTCATTCTATTCACAAAACTGTCCATATTTTGAATGCCTCTTTCAGGTGACATTCCTCCAGGTGACCTGGAGGCACCCTCATTGACGAGGTCTCCCGGATCTTGTCGAATGCCACAGTGATGACGACGACGGCAACGGCACTGCATGAGCTCTTCACTCGGAATTCTCAACATCAGTGCCTAGCCTACCATTCCTTTCGATCCATCGTCACCAAATTAACTATCCGGGCACGGAGGCTGTGTCACAAGCGAAGCAGAATCATATCACCCGATACTTCTATCGCTATTTTCACCACTCCAAGTCACTAGAGTGACACCCAGACACACACATATTATACATATTATATATATCTCCTCACCCTGGCATACTCTGGATCTTCTTGATCTAATATCAATGCTCATCCTCTTCCAGCTTCGACCTGTATCCATCGAAGACGCCATCCTCTCAGCTAGCCTTTTGCCCATCTTTCCAGCTCAGACATTCAGGAAAGGCTTTCAGAATGTCGACCACACACAACATGGATGTCAAAGTTGTCGACAAATGGGGTGATCTTATTCTTGAGGTTGGGGCTTCATTGCGCGTTGATCTGTCAAGTGAAGGAGACGGAGAGCAATTTTCCGAAGTTGACCCTGAGCAGCAATCAGACAGCGACAGCGACAGCGAACAACCCCTGGCGCGGAGTCTCAGACAAGATAGAACACCATCTCCGGACAGCAGTGTCGCCATCACAGACATTCCTCTGCGTATCCTTGTGTCGTCCAAAGTCCTGACTATGGGGTCCCTTGTTTTTAAGGAGATGCTGCATGGGAGCTTTGCGGAAGCGCAGCTTCACTTCAACCAGGTCGATCCGCCAACATTATCACTGCCAGAGGACAATCCCCGGGCGACACTGCTTTTCTGCGAGATCGTCCACTGCAGCCCCAGCGTTCATCACTTCAAAGGGTACAAGACTCTCCATGAACTGGGTATCTTTGCAGACAAGTACGACTGCACCCGCTCTTTGCGGTCTTGGTTTCGCGGCCAACTGTTCAGATTCGTTGGAGCCGGCCTTGACTATTTCGACATAGACGCTCTTCTGAATGAGGGCATGAGTGCACAGCAGATGCTCAAGCTGTGCTTTCTCATGAACGATGCCGAGATGTTTGCGCTCGCATCTAAAACGGTCTACACCCACGTTAGCCCGTCCGAGATCAGTCCCAAACTCGAGACTCTGTATGAGGATGAAGTGCCTGAGCGCCTGGTTGACCTCCTATGCTCTTTTGGACGCCACTCTATCCACGACTTTGCCGGCATTGGCCCCGCCCTTATTGCGCATGTCTCTCGGCAGCACAAATGGTATGGTTATTTCGCTCCGATTCCCTGTGAGACCACACAAGAGGAAGACGAGCTCGATCACTCCCAGGTGACCGGGCTTTGCTATGGGAACATCGTCAGGATCGGCGTCCTGGGCGCTACACTCGCTTCCCTGTCACTGTTGCCATCCAACGATCCCGAGGTCGACTCCAAGCGCTCGCCGGTGGCCATGCTGCGCAAACTCCAACGTCTGGGCGAGATTGATTTCGGCGACAGGAAGATGTGCTGTCCCAAGACTGCGCGCTGCAATTGCGGCCACGATCTCGACATCAAATTCGAGCTCGACAAGAAGATCAAGGTGGCAAAGCAGAAAGCGCGTGGCATTTGCCTGGGGTGCGTGAAGGATGACACAGAGCCGATATCCGACTTCCTTCCCAGCCACAATTCACGCTGTGAAAGGCATGTGTCGTGGGGTGAATGAAGCCTCAACCACGATATGATCTTGCAGCGATGAGAGGTACATTGGGGTTAATGGAACAAATGATTAGCTGGATATCGAATGGGGAGGACACGAATCGCGGGTCCGTCTTTGAAGCTGTGTCTGCGACTCACCTTGGATGTGAATTTCCTCTGTTAGCCTCCGACATCTTCAGCTGCGACTGTCAACATCGATTTCATCGTCATCTTTAGGCAAGTCTGCCGTCAACTTTGACAATCGGCACTTCCATTGTGACAACTTTTCCGACCCTCACCTTCGCGTCACTTTCCCGTCAATTCCTTTATACCCTTCCGTCCCCAGCCTGTCACAATTCTACCTTGCGCTCTACCTTTCTGTTCGACAGACCATATCACCCTCACGTCATGGCTTCCCTGGGAGAATCGGAAGTCGTCCTGGTCGATCCAGACGGCGACCTGATTTTGGAAGTTGGCAAGGAACACGACCTCACGGAAAATAACGTCAAAGTCTCGCAAAACAACAAGGGCGACTCGGACACAGCCCAGCAGCAGACCGCCAAGTCAAAGGTCCTCCGACTTCGCGTTTGCAGCAAGCTCATGATCATGTGTTCTCCCGTGTTCAAGGCCATGCTGAACGGACCTTTCTGTGAAGGCCGACTTCCACTGAATGCTGCCGAACCACCGATCCTGAAACTGCCGGATGATGAGCCGGTGGCTATGGGGGAACTGTGCAAGATCCTTCACCACAAATGTGACATTGATGTGGATGTATTCCCTGCCTGCGCTGTATCAACATCAATAGCAGCCGAACATATTGATCAAGTGCAAAGAGCATAACGCCCGACTCGCCACGGGCGCGTTCGTGGACTGGCGCCGGGACACGCGAGATTATGCGACCTTGGAGGACTAGGAGGGTTGGAGCCATGTCCGCCCTCGATTTCAACAGATGAATGAAAAATAGGAGATGTGTACCAAGCGCGACTCGAGACCGTGGTCTACACCAGCGGAGGGAAATACGACGAGAAAACGCACAGAACTTCAACAACGAAAGGGTCAAATGGACACAGGAACAGAGGAGAGCTGTGAGCATCTTTTTCGGGAACCGGTGGATTGAGGACGGTCGAACTTTCCAGAGCTTTGAACACATATCGAGAGACCACGCTTGGGTCTTGCTTGTGCCTTGTGTTTTGTGTCCCCGAATGGAATTGAAATCGCGTGTGTTTTGCGCCGAATTCGCCGTGGTGTTTTCCAGGGTTGGAAGGGATGGGAAGGAATGATTTTTACCGGCGCCGTGACTCCTCGGCTATGAGGCTGCATGCACTACCAGACTGCATCTATGTACTGCCGGAGCGTCGGTACTATGTACTTTGTACATTTGTACTCTAGTTTCCTGGGAGAAGACGAAGGGCGTCCTTGTCGGTTATGTACCGGTAGTGAGCTCTCTGGAAATAAGCGGCCGGTGCCGGCATTCGCAGTCGCAGTTGCAGTCCCATCCCGTACCACGGAGTAAGCGGGACAGAGCACCTAGGGTACATGTACCGAGTACCTAGCTCGCTAGGTATGTGCGTATGTGGGGGGACTGTATGTAAGTGCATGTCGATCACTGCGGTATCAAGAAACCCAGGCTTGCCGGGAAATTCAAAAAGGGGTTAAGAACACGTACCAGTAGGTAGGTAGGTAGGTAGGTTAGGTTTATGTACGAGTACGAGGACCAAGTACCGAGTATTACTACGCTGTCAAGCTGCAACCTGCATCCCGTACGGAGTAGTAAGCTCATAGGTGCCTCGAGGCGCCTCTCTCCTTGTCCTGCTTGATACTCATGGATCCACATATTATGTATGTGTCACTTCTACCGAGCACCGAGTACGCAATGCCCTCCCTGCATGGCCATGTATTGGATTTGTCCGTAACTCGCTCACTCGTCATCGTCAACTCGTCCGCTTCGTAGATCCACTCAGGATTGTCATTCTCATGAGTTTACGGGGGGCCACCTCCCCCCCAATTTCCCCAATCTACTCCATAGGTACATCTCCTCTTTCCCCCCGGCGTTTCAACAGGTCCCACTACTGGCGCAGCGCGCACAGCCAAATCATGTGCCCTCCCCCCTCTCCTATTTTCGCTCTTCCCTTGTATCACCTTGTCTACCTGGGTTCGGTGGAAGGGGGGGCAAGAGAGGGAAAGGCTAACTAACGCGGTTCACGACCTCTCTCAAAAAATCACACCTCGCCCTTCTCCGTCCACCGGGGATCCACAACAACCATATCGTCTGGATTCTCCACATGCTGGACACCCTCGGGATCGACATCTCCCTGACTGCTCGAGCCTTTGTGGTCGACCTGGACGATCGTCTCGGCGGTTTCCTGGCGAGCCGAGGACTCGTCGAGAACGTGGCCAAGACGACGACGATAGGGCAGTCTGCCCGCGACGCGGACGGGGTCGAAAAAGGACTTTGAGGCGGCAAAGATCTCGTCGAGCTCCTCGAGGCTGCGGCCCGCGGTCTCGGGGAAGAAGAAGTAGATGACGGGGACGAAGGCGGCGTTGAGGGCCGCGTAGACGATGAAGTAGCGGTAGCCGATGTCGGTGAAGGCGACCGGGGTGACCTCTGCGACGAGGAAGTTGAACAGCCACGACACGGCCGTCGAGATGCCGCACACGGCGGCGCGCAGGTGTGCCGGGGCGATCTCGGACGCGTACAGGAACGGGATCCCCAGGAACCCGATCGTGTAGACCACGTAGTACAGGTACAGGAAGAAGACGGCCGCCTTGAGCGCCGCGCTGTTGTCCGGGTCCGATACCAGCCCCGTCAGGCACGCCATGCACGCCGCCATCCCGGCCGAGCTGAATAGCATCAGGGGCCGTCGCCCGAACCGGTCCACCGTCCACGAGCACAGGCACGATCCGAGGATGATGGCGAACTGCGACGCCGCCGCGAGGATCCGAGACACGGTCGCGTCAAAGTGCAGGTCGGATTCGTAGATGGACGAGGCGTAGTACGTGATTGCGTTGACACCTTTGCGTAGGATTTGTGAGCCAGGTCATTTGTTCACGTGGCGTGCACGCCATCTCAAAGGGAGGCTCCAGCTGGATAAGGACAAAAGGAGACCCGGGGGGGACGACTTACCAGTCATTTGTAGGAAGATCTGTACAACCGCAGCTAGCAAGACCCGGTGGAATGTCCTTTGTGGTCCCATTGTGAACAAGGCCCTGAGGGAGAAAGTCCCGGCGAGTTCGAGCGCCGCCTGGATCTCGCGAATCTCCTTTTGGACCTCGTCGTCGTGTGCGTCGACGTTGTGGAGCAGACCGATGATATCTCGCGCCTCTTCGACGCGGTTCATCTTGACCAGCCAGCGAGGAGATTCCGGCAGGGTGAAGATAAAGGTCATGACGATGACGGAGAGGACGATCTCAAAGGCAAAGGGGAACCGCCACGACACAGAGCCCGAGAAGTAGGAGAAGCCAAAGTCGATCCATAGAGCCAGCACTAGGCCCAAGCCGCAGAAGATGCCAAACGCCGAGACATGTTCGCCGCGACTCTCGGCCTTGGAAAGCTCAGACTGCCAGACCGAGACGGTCGCGATGATGCCACCTGTTCCCAGGCCCACGACGATGCGGGAAACGATGAATTGCGCAAAGGAGAACGAGGATGCCATCAAGATGCCCCCGACCATTTGCACGGCGGTGGCTAGGAAGATGGTCCATCGTCGTCCGAGGACGTCGCCTAGAAAAGTGCATGCTAGAGCCCCGAATGTGCCACACAGGGTATACAGGGCGATAACGGTGCCTGGAGGAGCAGTCAGTCACCAAAGTGCGCGAGATAGCCTGATAATTGCTGGCTTGGGCCTGACCTTGGATCGTAGAGTTGTAATGCTTCTGCGCGCCAGTTGTGTCAATCACGTCCATCTTGGGGAATTGCCTGTTGAAGGACGGCGTGGTGAGGACTCCGCCAGCCACGGCCTGGTTGTACCCAAAGATCATGACCGCGAACATGGCCAAGGCCCATATGGCAGCGTTGAGCCCGCGCCCACGAAGGCCCCAAAAGCGTTTCATGGTGATGAGAACGAGGTTTAGAGCTGTAGAAGGGGGACAAGCAACCTGGTTGCGGTGTCTGGAATGTTTTTGAATATCCTTTCCGCCAAAAGAAGCCACGGATATGAGACAAAGAAGCGATCTTCTGAGTCATACGGCATCGCACTTGTATAATCCCCAGCCTGCGAATATATCGAAGCTGTGCGGGCAAATTCCAGCTCTCTTCCCCGCTTCAACATATGCCCTCTTCCAACTCTGGGAAGAGGATGTAGATCCCCCAAGTCGGTTGTCGGATAATGCTTCGCAGACATTGTCAGCGACGACCTGTATACCTTGCGGGAGTAGATGCGGAGAACACGCATGAATCATATGGCGGGGAGAGATCCACTCGGATTAGCTCTACCTTGTTGGTGGCCTGCTTGTCTGCTTCAGTTCATGTTGTTGAGAAAAGCTCCGTGCTCGGGAGCGAAAAAGCTTGCCTCGGGGTTAGGGGCAGGGATTTCGACTTTCAAAGTATAGTGAGTTGTATTGCCGTGCCATTGGACAGCACTTACAGGGCGTCTCTGTCAAAGCTTACCGACGAGACTGGCTCTGCTCCGTTCTGTCCGGCCGGTTCTCGTTACGAGGACGACACTCACCGCAAGAGGCAGAAGCAATGCAGTAAAGCCTCACTGTTGTGGCTAGCAAGCCTCCTGAAGAGCTGAACCGCTTACCAGACATTGGCTTTCCGTTGATGGCAGACATGATCGGCCACTTTTTGGTGTTTGGTCCTGTGCCACCCATTTGTCGTCAACTTGATTTGATTTGATTTTCGTAGATGGGGGGTCCTTTATACTTTCACTAACCACATTGGAACTAGGGTCCTCGCATAGTCGGCTCTACGGCAATTTGGACCCAACAGCATCACTCAACAGAGACCAACATTGTCCTTTTGTGAAAATTGACCAAGTCCTCTCTGTCTTTATGTCCCTGTGCAGAAAACAGCGCTGACATATGTAAAACAACCACGATGGTGGAAGAATCGATGTCTGATACGTAAGACGCTCGCAGCCCGTAGCCCGGTACGCCATCTTGGAACCACCAACAGCGAAAATCGCACTGATCTTCATTCCTCTCGGCCACGACACCGACTTGTATGGCCCAGCTGACGAGGATTGCGGGATTGCGGAGTCGCCTCCGTGGTCGATTACGCAAATTAGCCCTGTGGAGGTTGCTGACCGACACACGCTCCCTGCAGACAGGAGCAGCGTACGGCAAATCCTGATCAGACGCCTTGCGAGTTATCCGGGCACAGGCTAACCCCAGAGTCTGCCCCATGGTGACATGCCTGGTGGAGTGGATTCGACCGTCATTGATGGATGTGCAACGAAAGCCACTCGCAATGCACCAGTGCACAACTCCACTGGATGCTTTTACAAATGGTCCTTTCTCGGCGTCTGTGTTCGCACGCAGTCACGAGATCTTCGAGGGCAACAAAGAGCGGTTCTGCGCCTCTATGAATATTTTCTCTTTCCCTTGCTTGTTCGTTGGAAATTTCTCAGGAGTAATTCTACTCTTCTAATTCCTTGTATCTAATCGAGTCTTGAGAGTGCTTCTCTTGGGTCTTACGCATCTTGTTCAGCCTCTAGCCACTCTAGCATGTCTAGCAACAAGTCCTCTCTGAGATCGCCTCAACGCCACTCCGTCAACGTATCCTTCTTTGGCACATGGTCACATAACGGCCTCACCTCATGGTATAACGTAAATATATACCTGGCTGAATCTCTGTCCAGGTGGTGCTCGAGGCTTCGCCAACGCTTTGGATCGTGTGGCTAACTTTCGACACCGCTGGCAGGTGTGAATGAAGCCTCAAACACCATGGCCATAGTCGACCAGCAAATCGGA